TCTCCCTCCCTCTCCCCCCTTCTCTTACCCAAAAATGGTGTATAAAAATAATTTAATCTCTAAATAATTCTGGAAAAAGTATTTCTCAGTCAACTATGTTTTACTCATTCAATAGCCTTGTATGTCAAAATGCCAATTTTAAAGAACAAATAGCCATCCTGGGATTAACAAAATTCAGTTAAAGCATTAGTCTTGATTTTGGATAGTGGTTGTTAAGGTTAATTTCTTAATTTTGCAGAGCTGTATCATGATCTTTCATTTATCATTTGGGGGCAACAAGAGAGCTCTGGCTACGAAGCGATTAGAAGGATTAAGATGAATTAAAATCAGTTTCCTAATGGAAAATATTATCTTTTTTTGTTAACTTACTTGCTAGCTGGAATCATTAAGTTACCATATTGTGTGTTAACAAAATAAACCTATTGCTAAATGAAACCAAATATAAATGAAATTCTTCAAAGACAGCATGTCTAAAATCCTCAACTAATAAAAATGGTACTGAAGAACTGCCCCTGATGTGGAGTACTGAAGCTGACCAATTATAATGACAATATACTGTCTAGATACACAAGTTACAATCTGTGGCAACCAACTTTAGTAATAGTGTTTATGTAACTTGGTCAGACCTTCATTAAGTAATTGCACAAGCCTCAATGCTTGTTGGGAGATAGAAATTGTCGACCTCCCTGGTAATTTATTATCAAACAAGGAACCAGTCTAACTTCAATCTTGCAAGACTGTTTACTGGTTTAATCTTTAGAGCATGGATGCACTAAGCTAGAGCAAGTTGAAGATATTCTTCTTTAGGACTAAAAGTTGGAGTCAAAGGCAAAAGCAATAATATGCAGATATGAACAGCAATGCAACAAATAAAAGAAAAAGAAAAAGAATGTCCGCTCAGTGCTCCCAAGTTTCAGTTCCCTCTTGCCATGCATAACACGGTGAAGACAACCTTAGCCAGGAGAAACTGTGAGGAGCTGAATCCCACATTAATCCTCCCCTCAGGCAGTGACCAAAGGACACCCCCTGTCACAGCAACTCATACTGCTGAAGAAATTTACTGATGTGGAGTTGGGGGACTTAGTCTGTGGCGAGTGCAGCCATACTGTAAAGAATTCCAGTATACTATGAAGGTTTCCTAGGATATGCTGAAACACTACAGAGGCATTAGTTGCTACGTGACACTGTGCCTCATGGAACAACTAAAGAGTTATTAGAGGTTGAACCACCTACCCCCTAGAAACAATAAGAGGTAAAAGTATCAGAGCGATGCACGTAAATAGAGGAAAATGGGCAACGCCATCTTAAAGAATGCAAGAAATATAGAAGGATACAACATAGTTTAAGCTGCAGTGGCCTCATATTAACCTTATGGTGACGGAGCCTGATTTTTTTTTTATGTAATATAAGGCCTAAGCTGTGTACAGCTGGCTCACTCATTGCAAGTCATGACATGTTCATACTTCATAGGCCATTATGTCATGACAGCTATAGCCTTACCCATCTCTGAAGTGTTAAGGCATGGCAGTTCTTATCCAAACTAACCACCAAATTGACTCACAGAGTGTGAATTCATGACCTTGAAAATCCTAAGCCAGTGCTGTTATTGACCTATGCCACCTCCACAACATCTAACAGATTCAACTTATTTAAGTTATAATGGCTAATGATAGATATTTCAAAGTAATATTAAATCTCAATAAAAGTAATATCTATGCTCCAAATATTGTCCGACAATCTGTTACTTTAAAGTGACAGCAACCCCAGACAAAAGGTCTTGGCCTAGGCTTTGCTAAACAAACCAGGCCGTAGGTTATCCACTCTCTTCCTTCTTATATTGTGAGATAAATCAGATATATAATTATATCATTCTCATGTAACTCACCCACGCTTTTTCTGCGCTGTACTACAAGTAAGTGACACCCAGCAACAAGGAAGACTGTTTCATCATGAAATGCTTATTTTTAAGGCACTTCATTACAAAGCGATGTGTTGATTCTCTCGCTAAGATATTGTCGTACACTTGGACAGAACTCAATTACGGTTGAGAAAGATAAATGTGTGTCCTTTAAGTTTTATAGAGAAATATATATCATTTTGATATTCTTCAAGTCAAAGAAGATTGAATAGTAATAGTTTTTTCTTGTGTTTATTATCGTTAAAAGAAGTTAGTTATCGTAGACAGAGCATGTTGTCGCACTGTAGCTTTCATTGCCATCGCATTGGAACGCATAAATACATATCTTTTTTTATTTTGTAAAGATAGATTATCGTTTTTTCTGCATCCGATAAAGTAGTTAGTACAGTCTTCTTCTAAAATAGCGAAGCAAATAAATATGTTATACGAGTAAAGTGCTGTAAAATATTAGGTTA